GTGGATGTTTTCAGAGAACTATCCACAATGACTCCAAGATCTCTTTCTTGAATGGTAACAGCTAATTTGGACCCCATCATTTTATACGTATAGTTGGGATTATGTTTTCCGATGTGCATCACTTTGCATTTATCAACACTGAATTTCATCTGCCATTTTGTTGCCCAGTAACCCAGTTTTGAGAGATCCTTTTGTAGCTCTTTGCAGTCTGCCTGGGACTTAACTATCTTGAGTAGTTTTGTATCATTTGCAAATTTTGCCACCTCACTGTTTACCCCTTTTTCCAGATCATTTATGAATGTTGAATAGGACTGGGCCCAGTATAGACATCTGTGGGACACCACTATTAACCTCTCTCCATTCTGAAAACTAACCATTTATTCCTATCCTTTGTTTCCTATCTTTTAACCAGTTACCATGAGAGAACCTTCCCTCTTATCCCATGACTGCATACTTTTCTTAATAGCTTTTGGTGAGGGACCTTGTCAAAGGCTTTCTGAAAATCTAAATACACTATATCCACTGGATCCCTCTTGTCCACATGCTTGCTGACCCCCTCAACGAATTCTAGTAGATTGGTGAGGCACAATTTCCCTTTACAAAAACCATGTTAACTATTCCCCAACAAATTATGTTCATTTATGTGTCAGACAATTTTGTTCTTGACTATAGTTTCAACCAGTTTGTCCGGTACTGAAGTCAGGCTTACCGGACTGTAATTGCTGGGGTCACCTCTGGAGCCCTTTTTAAAAATTGGCATCACATTAGCTATCCTCCAGTCATTTGGTACAGAAGCTGATTTAAATGATAGGTTACAGACTACAGTTAGTAGTCCTGCAATTTTACATTTGAGTTCCTTCAGAACTCTTGGGTGAATACCACCTGGTCCTGGTGACTTATTATTGTTTAGTTTATCAATTTGTTCCAAAACCTCCTCTAATGATACCTCAATCTGGGACCATTCTTCAGATTTGTCATCTAAAAAGAATGACTCAGGTTTGGAAACCTCCCACACATCCTCAACCGTGAAGACCGATGCAAAGAATTCATTTAGTTTCTCCGCAATGGCCTTATCGTCCTTGAGTGCTCCTTTAGCATCTCGATCGTCCAGGGGCCCCAATGGTTGTTTAGCACGCTTCCTGCTTCTGATGTACTTACAAAAAAAGAAAAGGAGTACTTGTGGCACCTTAGAGACTAACAAATTTATTTGAGCATAAGCTTTCGTGAGCTACAGCTCACTTCGGCTGTAGCTCACGAAAACTTATGCTCAAATAAATTTGTTAGTCTCTAAGGTGCCACAAGTGCTCCTTTTCTTTTTGCGAATACAGACTATTACGGCTGCTACTCTGAAATCTTACCAAAAAATGTTACTATTACTTTTTGAATCTTGGGTTAGCTGTTCTTAAAATTCTTTTTTGGCCTTCCTAATTATATTTTTACACTTTATTTGCCAGAGTTTATGCTCGTTTCTATTTTCCTCACTAGGATTTAACTTCCACCAACCGTCCTCACTCCTGCTACACAGAAGAAGGAATAGTGCATTTTTTTCATAGGTATTTTATCCCAAAATATTAATATTACAAAACCAATAAAAATTTAATTTAAACTGACAGGAATTAATTGACATCATAATAATGAACAGCTCTATCTTGTTTTGCCCCTTAGAGATATATAGAGAGATACAGATATAAGATATAGATGTATAAAGTAAAGGGTGATGCCACATGGAGATAACGCAGGTTAGGTTTTAATTAGATAAAATTATATACTGAATATATTAAAACAAAATTGACAGACTTCCTTCACAAAAAAAAAATTCTTTATTCAGCCGTGTCATAGAATCATAGAATCTCAGAGTTGGAAGGGACCTCAGGAGGTCATCTAGTCCAACCCTCTGCTCAAAGCAGGACCAAACCCAACTAAATCATCCCAGTTAGGGCTTTGTCAAGCCAGGGCTTAAAAACCTCTAAGGAAGGAGATTCCACCACCTCCCTAGGTAACCCATTCCAGTGCTTCACCACCCTCCTAGTGAAACAGTTTTTCCTAATATCCAACCTAAACCTCCCCCACTGCAACTTGAGACCATTCTTCCTTGTTCTGTCATCCGCTACCACTGAGAACAGTCTAGATCCATCCTCTTTGGAACCCCCTTTCAGGTAGTTGAAAGCAGCTACCAAATCCCCCTTCATTCTCTTCTGCAGACTAAACAATCCCAGTTCCCTCAGCCTCTCCTCATAAATCATCCTTGATAAACAACTTTACTTTTCCTTCTTGATTCACACCTATGTCTACAAAGACCAGAGATGTTTTTCCACCTTTTATTTCCTCTTCAAACCCTCTTTTCCCTTCACCCAGGATCTTTCACAGGCACACTTGCAGAGGGCAGATGTTGATGTCTGAGACTGTACATGCCCCCTGCAACTTCTCTAGCCCTCTGGTGTTCCCCACCACATGGTTAGCAGGCAACAATAATGACAAGTGCATACTTCTGCACCTACTCCACCATCTTCCTTTTTTTTGCCTTGGAGGTTCGGAGGTTTTGCCTCCCTCACCTCACCTGACTTCCTCACTCCAATTTTCTCCTTGATCCACTGAAACCTGGCTCTGCCCCTCTACTCCAATGAAATCACAACACTAAGATCATTCTCTTTGTCAAGCATAACAGCCTCTTCTCCCTTCTCATCTTCCTTAACATACCCATTGTTTTTAACAGAGTCATTCACTCCCTCTTGTTCCTGACCTTTCGGAACACTGTAGTCATTTGGTCCCCCCGCCCTCTCCCCAACTCTATTATTTCTCTTTCAGCTGCTCCTCCCTCAACACCAGCATCACTCGGGGCTCTGCCCTTGTCCCTCTTTCTATACCTTATCCCTGCTGACCTCATCTGCTCCCTTGGCTTCAATTCCCAACTGTGCTCTGGTGACTCCCAAATCCCGACTACAATCCCTCCCCTTCTCTAATGGCTTCTCAGCATCTACCGTTCCAGGATCCTCCTGCCAGGTGATGATCGAAGCGGCCAAAACTAAATTTGCCACCTCTGCTCTCTAAACCGTCCCTTCTTCTCCCGCTCTGTCTAAGCCACCAGCCCAGCTAGTCTCATCAGCTCCTCTTCCACCCCACACAGTCAGGCAGCCTGTCGCCGCCGAGTCCTGTGGATTTTTCCCAGTTCAACGTCTCTCAGATCTGTCCCTCCCTCTGTCCACAGGGACAAGCCTTGCCCGTGGTGTCCTCACATTGTAAGTGCCACCCCCGCCCCCCAGGGGCCCGATACCTGACACCCCCCACACCCCTCCCATTGGCATGGCATCGCTCCAGCCACACACCCTCCTCCTGGCTCATTCCCTCCCTTCGTCCGCACAGCTTGGGTGCCCCCCCCCCCCCCCACGCACTGATCACTAGTCCTACCCCAGCCTTCCCTCCCCACCCACCCTTCCCCTCCTGCCCCTTTCCAGCTGCTCCTCGCCTCATGCCCTAGGTTCCTCCATTCCTGCGCCCTCCCCTCCTTTGGGTCCCCGGACCCCTGCTCTGGTGTCCCTCCCCACCCCCAAACGTCTCTCCTCCAGGTTCCTCCATTCAGATCCAAACCCGCCCCCAATCCTGACCCAGCCGGGGAAGGGCCCCGCCACTTCAGCGAGACGTGACTTTCCCAGCGCGACGCACACTGCGCCTGCCCATGCCCGGAAGGAGAGGGCACATTCTGGCCAGCGCAGAATCGGCTCCTACTCCTACTCCTGCTCCCCAGCCCCAGCCTCCTGCGGTCGCCTGGCCCCTTTCCCTGCGTCGGCGGGCTGTGCAGGGCCGGCGGCTGCTTGATCTGAAGTCACCAGACAAAGCTACAAAGAGCCAGCGGGCTTTCACGCAGCTGAAAGGAGTAATCTAATCCCGAGGGAAAAAACAACTCCCCGGGAGATCCACCCCCTGCCCCGCACACTGGGGGGAGGCAGGGCTCGGGCGAGCGGAGGCTGCTGCCCAGACAGGTACTCTACGCCCGTGGGCACACCAGTCCCCCAGCACACAAGCAGCTTTGCCGTCTCGTGGCCTTCGAAACTCACGCGTAAAAAGTTCGATGAAACTTTTTCAAAGTTCGTCCTTTGGGATTTGTTTTCACGTTTAACGAGAACCAGGGCGTGCTAAAGTGCCTGTCTCCGGGGGGTCCTTGCGTTAAATACATGTGGACAGGTTTGTTTTAATTCCGCACTGTTTAAAAATAATAATAATTGTGGCGCTTCTTGGGGCAATTGGCTGTAAAAGTTATTTTGTAACCCCTGGGATCGCACGCAGGCTGGTGCGAGAGGCCTAGGCGTTGCAGAAACGTCCCGGTTAAAAACAATTTCAGGTTCTAGAGACTGAAAATAGATCTATGCAGGTAGTAATTAAAAGTGACAAGCAGCCCAGAGAACAACGGTCAAACAAGACCTTGCCGACAAGACCGTGCCTGGACTCCCTGACTCCCGTTGGGAGGAAACAAAATCCCACAAAAGCCACTTTTCAAACACCCCCCTTCCTCACAACGTCCCCAGCCAGGACCTGGAGTGGGGTCTCTCCCTAGACACTCCCCAGGAGAGATTGCAGAGCTCCCCGCTCCTGCTCTCGGCCACACGCACCAGTGGAAGGCGAAGGGGGAAGAAGATGGCCGTTTGTGATCCAATATAAAAGCTCTTTGTTGCATTCACACAAAAGCCAACAGCCACTTTTCGGCCCGGGCCTGAGGCCAGTGGAAGGAGCTTCTCTGCTCCAGGGCGAAAAGAAAGAGTCCCCCACACGGAAGAAAGCGCAGCGAAAAGGGAATACCAATAAAAAAGAGCGAGAGGAGAAACGCTAAGCTGCAGCTTTGTGCTCAGCAGCCCTGGGATTTATTCAACCTCCTCAGTCTAGTGCCTTTTATCGAGGCAGAATCGTAATCCCAGCAGGTCCAGAGCCACCACCAACAAAACACAACAAACCAGTTGGTCTGATCAGCCCAAAGCGGCAGGAGCAGCAGGATGTCTGTGATCACTTACTTGTCCGTCTCTTGTGACATGTTTGATCCAATGAACTCTCTCCCCTTTTCCTGCTGCCTCAGTCTCTCTGGTGAAACTGGACTTTCAAGTCTGTGCAGGTGAAGGTGTGTGTGAGCGCCCGGGACGGGAGAACCAGAGCTACTGGTAATTCTGCTTTCCTCCCTCCCCCCCTCCGCCAGCCCCAGAGGTAGGACAGGTAGAGCCCCCTCCCCCCTCACATGTGGGCAGAGGCTGGGTGCTGGGCTCTCTCCCGTGGTGCTGGGGCAGTGGGAGGCACAGAGCGGAAAGCAGCAGACCTAGGCGCCCACAGGTAACTTTCTCGAGAGGAGCTGGATTCTTTCACTCAAGGATACAAGGCAGAGGGACGAGCTGCGAGCTGATTGGATGGAGGTGGCTCTCAGGTGATCTGCCATTGGAAGAGGCGCGCTCAGGTAAGGCCCCTGCTTAACTCCAGGCAATTCGCTGCGGAGCAGGGCAGCATGGGGCTGGCTGGGGAGAGCTGAGAAAAGAGCTGCCCGGAGCTGGCTGCAGGCAGCTGAGCTGAGCTGAGCTGCGGGGAGACTCGATGGTCCAAGAGCCCGCAGGCCCGAGCGAGGCCCCATCAGAGCTCTCTGCCCTCCGAGCAACTTTTTTCTTAGGTTTCAGAGGAACAGCCGTGTTAGTCTGTATTCGCAAAAAGAAAAGGAGTACTGGTGGCACCTTAGAGACTAACCAATTTATTTGAGCATGAGCTTTCGATTGGTTAGTCTCTAAGGTGCCACCAGTACTCCTTTTCTTTTTCCTTAGGGCTGTTTAACAGTCGGCCCCACCCCCACCCGCAGACAGCTGAAATGGTAGCCAAGTAGGGGGAAAGGCCAACGCTATTGAATTCAGGGATATAAAGAGTCCTGGATTGCCAATGGGGTATGGCTGAGAACAACAAACAAGAACGTTTATTGTCTCCTAAAGAGGGATGGTTGACAGAAATATGTAACTAGTCTACAGCTACCTTAGAGACAAGTGTATCTATTACATAATTGCATTGTACCAGTTTTACCCATACAAGATTTACAATCCTGATCAGGACTATAAAAGGGCACTTGTGAGATTTCTGCTCAAACAGCATTGTCCAGCTTTGGATTTGGCATTAAGTACATGGTAGGGAAAATTAATGTCTATGCCTTAGGATTTTTCCCAACCCAAACCTGTCAACTAGTAACCTGTACCCCCTACCCACTCATTCTTGCAATTCCTGATCCCTGTCAGTATCACACCAACATTTGTTGGCTGTTTCTGTGTTTTGTTGTGTTGCTGGCATTTGAAGTTCTCCAGAGAAGCATCAACATTTGCCCTGTAACTTCACAGAATCAGGAATTAGACAGACACTCAATTCATCAAGCTTAAAATAAATACTTCATGAGGCTAGAATGAACTGAATTTTAAACTGGTGGATTTGTCAGTGCAGAAAACATTTCATAGTGAAGACAGATACATGATGCCAGAAGATGACACCCACCATCAAAATTTAAGAGCTAGTGGTAGCAAATGGTGTGGCACATCTATAGTCTGCAAGCACAGAAGTCCTAGGAAAACTAAGAGCTAGAAAAGCTTAGAGACAAAAGCTTGCTGTGCTTTATAAATAATAATCTTTTATATCCTAAATAGTGTATAAAGCTAGGCCATTATATGATATACTTTTTCACATGGGATAATATTTACTTAGTTGTCCTGTTTCACAGTAGGATTAATTAATTAATCAAGTAAAAGATAGTTCACTAGATGAACAGCTATTCATAAGGCACCTAAGAGCTTGGTATTTCATTTTCAGCTCACTTACATGCCTTTTTAGTTCATAAAGGCATTCCCTGGTAGGAACATTCACTGAAACAGTAGATTTTTCTGTAAATATTATGTTCAAATATAGAAAATTTTGAACTTGTGGGGCCTGATTCTCCTCTCACCCCGGTTTAAATAAGGCTCAGCTCTCTTTAATTAAATGGCATTTCAATCATGTAAAAATCAGCATATCAGAATCAGGCACATAAATATTTGCACAAACCTGAGTCTATAGTCAAAGTTACTAGCCAATTAAGCTCAAATCAATATAAGCCAGATTTAAATTGATTTAAGAGTGTCCACTAAAAATTTGCATTGGTTTAGCTAAATTGATTTTAAAATTATTTTAGCTACACCTGTAGAGCTTTGAATATAGACGGGGCCTAATTATTAGGGGACAAAAACAATACCTTGCAACCTACACATCCAGTCAAAACAAAGTAACAGCTTGAATTTTGAATAACAAATGCTGGCAATAAACTGCTCAAACAATCTATAGACCAAGAATTATTCATAAAAATGATTCTACAAGTAGTTGTGTGTAACAAATCTAAGAAAATCAAAATTTGAACAGAAAAAAGCCAATTCATTCAATAAATTATGCATTACAAATTATTTGCTCATTTCTAATAAGGAATTATGGTACCACCTTAAAACCACTTGAGGGCCGAAGGATACAATTCTTCAGTAGCTTTTTTTTTTGGAAAAATAAATGGTGAAATGCTGGCTCTACTGTCAGTGTGAACACTCCCATTATATTCAATAGGATAAGGATTTCATCTCAAATCCTTATGTTTTAGTTATCCTGAAAGAAACTATTGGGCCAAAAAGGACTATTTGTACGAGTAAGGCAAATAGATGGTTCCCATATGGGGCTAATCCTTTCTTTCCCTTTATTTTTAACAGTACGATAACATTTAGGATGTGATTTTTCATTTTCCTAATGAAGTCTATAAAAGCAGAGTAAGACCATTGATGGAGTACTTTTGAAAATCCCACCTGTAATGAAGTAGGAGTGTTGACATAGAAGGTTGGGTGACTTTATAAGAAAAACTTCCTCATCACATCCGCAATTCTGGGTCAAACCCAATTCGTAATCTGAACTGAAGTTTGTTGTCCTAACACAGATCACAACACAAAACTGTTTTTGGCAGTCTGATCTCAGGAGATTCCCTTGGAATGAGCTAACCTGGAGACTGAATAAGCTTTCAATCTCAAAGAAAGTGGTCCAAGGTCAAAACTAGGGACAAGAATAGAACATTATAGGACAGTGTCCCTTTTTGTTTTGTGGATAATGGAGATGTCTAGTGATATCCTTATTCCCCAGCCTGGAGGTGTGGGAGAAGGAAAATAGATCCTGGAAATCATCTGACTATATTTGGTGGGGATTTCTTTGTTTGGATGGAGTTTTTCTGCTACATCTAATAAATCTTAAAGTGTTGGAGTCAAGCTCTAGTTGAGCAAGTCAAACAAGTCCTGTCTGGTCTAACCTGCTGCTCATTCGCTGTGATCTACAAAACCTCCGTAACCTGTATTTGTTTATGTGTCATGGAGTCAGTTGCAAAATCAGCTAACAGTATCTTCTGACCAGAGCAATCTTCCTCTCTTGTGGTATGAACAGTGAGTGAGCTAAAATGCAATGGCCGTGTGGCATACATTTAAAATCTATGGCTTGTCTTTGGAGCTTACAAGAACAATTAAAACGACAGTTTTATTTACTGTTCCAGTCAACCACTGTTTTTCATACTTTGCTGTGGCTTGCTTGTTTGCACAGCAGCCACTAGTTTTACTATGGCATTATCCTATAAAGAACCAGCATAGAATTCAACTGAGACCTTACCTCATGTTTGCATTATTTTCTCTGTTACAGCTAATATTAGCATTGTTTGGACTTGCCAGTACTGGGCAGAGAATATGGGAAATGAAAATAAGGTTTAACTAGGGTTACTAATTGGGGTAAGTACCTAAAATGGTTTTTTGAAAACTACTAAAAGAAGTCTGTGAGATAAAGGGTGTTAAAGGTTTATATTTATATCAAAACAATGGTATGAAGAAGTTCAGTGAGACAGCAAATGATTGACAACCCCTTCTCTTTGGCCTTGGCTACACTTGTGAGTTGGAGCGCGTTAAATCATCCCTGAGCGCCCTAACTCCTGAGGTGTCCACACTGGCAAGGCACGTAGAGCGCCTGGACTCCGCGGCTGGAGCGCCCCTGTAATCCACCTCCACGAGAAGCATAGAGTGTGCTGTGCCCTGGCTGGAGCGCTGCGGTGCCTGTGTGGACGCCCTGGTCGGTTAGTGCGCTCTGATCGGCCTCCATGAAGTGTCCCACAATGCCTGTTCTAGCCACTCTGGTCATCACTTTGAACTCTACTGCCCTGTCCTCAGGTGACCAACCGTCAGATCCGCCCTTAAAATTCTCTGGGAATTTTGAAATTCCCCTTCCTGTTTGCTCAGCAAGGTGTGTAGTGCTCTTAGCGCATCTTTCCAGGTGACCATGCGTCCACGCGCCAGGCGATCCCCAATATGGAGCAATGGCGAGGTGCTGGACCTCATCAGTGTTTGGGGGAAGGAAGCTGTCCAGTCCAAGTTGCATTCCAGCTGTAGGAATTACGATACCTACAGGCAGATATCAAGGGCCATGATGGAAAGGGGCCATAACCAGGATGCAGTGCAGTGCAGGGTTAAAGTGAAGGAGCTGCGGAACGCTTACCACAAAGCACGGGAGGCAAACCGCCGCTCCAGTGCTGCGCCCACGACCTGCTGTTTCTACGAAGAGCTGGACGAGATACTTGGGGGCGACCCCACCTCCACTACCAAAGAGCACCGTGGAAACTTCAGAGGCCGTGGCAGCCCAGAGTGCAACAAGGCAGGAGGAGCAAAGCAGAAACGAGGGTGCTGAGGAGGAGGGGCGCCCAGAGCCAGAAGACGGCCCAACATCCATAGATGCATGCAGCCAGGAGCTGTTTTCAAGCCAGGAGGAAGGTAGCCAGTTGCAGCAGATGGTGCTTGTGGAAGAACAAACAGCAGAGGAGGTGCCCAGTATGCGGCTTTTATTTTGGGAAGGGAGATGTTCAGTGCTGGCTGTTGGGGCGAGGAGGGTTGCAGAAAGAAGGGTCAGGGCTGCATGCATGCCTAGATGCGGAATAGGGCATTGATGTGCTCTCTCACATCACAGTAATTGGCCTCAGTGATCTCATCAAAGGTCTCATGCAGAAGCTGGGCAATCCGCTTGCTCAGGTTCCTTGGCAGAGCTACTGTGCTCCTTGGCCCAGTAAGGCTAATATGTCCATGCCACTGTGCCATGAGGGGTGGGGGGATCATTGCTGCACA